TATCAAGCTTTTTTATTTTGAATCTGGAATAGTTAAAGTTTTTTCTAGGTTTATAGTTTAAATTCGAAGAAAAGTCGATTTATTTGGGTTTTGATTTTCTTCACCCTCACCACCATAATGGTTGAAGCTTTGTCATCACCATCATGTATCTATGAACAATGGTCCTCACCATTCTCGTCCAGAATAATTCTACATGTTTAACGACAATAAAGTGTTATTTATATTACCTCAATTCATAAAATTAGGAGAGATGTTAGGTGTTCAACACAAATATCAACTTCATGTTCCACTAAATCATCACCCTTATGCACCTAAAACTTAGATTAGGTTTTGTTTTCAATCCAAATAACTTTTTACAAATTTTAATGCAAGCCACTGTCAAAGGTAATTAAGGAAAATATTATTATCCCATTATACCCGGACCGGTTATCTGGACCGCCTTGGGACTTGTCAGTCTAAGACCGGTTCGGTCCTCAGTCTTTTTCTAAGACAGTTTTGGATCACCCAAAATATAGAGATCTACTGCTCAGAAAGAAATTAGACATGATTTACTCATGCAAGTAGCAACATGCGGAGGGAATTAATTGGAAAGACAAATCCAATTAATTATATATTTTTAGTTTTAATATCAATATTAGTATTATGGGACTGTTTAGGCTTGGTTAATGTTTGATTGGTTATACTTAAAAACCAGAATTGAACCATTTCTATAACGTCCCATTTTTCACAACCAAAATTTTCCATTTTTATTAAGGTAAAACTTCCCAATTTATAAATCCATTAGTAAGAAAACCGTTTATTCCAAATCACATTTATTAAAAATCAGAGTATCATAGAAAACGCGGAATCCTAATGTTGTTGATGAGTGTGTACAGTCCCACCTTCGTCTTCCCATAGCCACTGATGATACCTGAAACAATAAACAATTGGGTAAGCATAAAGCTTAGTGAGTTTCCCCCAAAATAGCCCATACGATAAATATACAAGCATGCATCGGGTCCACTTAGCCATCAGGCTGGAATACCCAGGGTTTGTTGGCCTACCACCTCAACCATCGCTCTTCCCGAGCCGCCGTGCCTACGGCTTACATCCGGCCCGCACCAGGTATCTTGGCCTACAACACACAGCAGGACCGCCTCAACCCACTACTACCATATGTCGACATATAAACAAATAAGGATCAAGTAGGCACATAATACAGACAAACATCAATCATACAGCTCACTACCGCCTACTAGTCCTCTCACAACACACAATCTCGCTACCAGCAAACTTCCATGAAATGCGTAACCATAAGTACCCAGAGGTGAGATAGCCACCCGAACAGATGATCCTACTCTAGATCCACAACCAAACAAGGAAGAGGCAATAAAGCCTAGATCAAGAGTTCTTACGCTATCCTACATGACTACATACAGTCGCTAGGGCACTCCATTAGATGATAACCAACAAGTACAAGTAGACATACAGTTCTACAAATCACTACCGCAATACAACATTCTATATACCAGGATATATATCTAACAGACCACTACGACACAGTAACATACTCGATAGTAGGATGCAAATCTAACAGATCACTACAGCATAGAAACATACTAAATATCGACATACCAGGAATGCATAAACGTATATACTCAGAGGTGAGATAGCCACCCAGACAGGTGATCCTACTCTAGAACCACAACCAACAAGGAACATGTAAAATGGTCTAGACCAAGAATCCTCAGTCTATCCTACATGACTACATATAGTCCCTAAGACATCCCTCTACTAACAGATAACCACAACTAGTTGGCCGAGAACACCGTGATACGCTCCCTGCTACACTGCTTGCTCCTACGGATCCACTAACATAAGAACCATATAAAATCTTAATCACCAATCAAAACCCTCAAGTTTGACCTAAAGTAAAACTTGGTCAAGAAGTCAACAGTCAATAGAGTCAACAAAAGTCAAAGTCCAAGGCTGGTTGAGTACGCCGTGCGTACTCAACTTACGCCCCGCGTACATGGGATGTCTTAGTACGCCCAACGTACGAAAATCATGCCCAAGGTACTCGAGCTGATTCCATCCTTTCCATTAAGCACTTAATCCCTTAAGTACTTTTCACCTAAAACTCATATCTAGCCTCAAAACATTTTCTTAAGTCATAAAGTTTCCACCTTTATGACTTTCCATGGCTAAGGAAGGTCCAAAAGCTAAAACCCTAACTTATTAATCCATTAAGACATCACAACTCTTGCATGGAAGGGATAAAAGGACCAAAATCACATTTTTATGGTTCCTAATAGCTCTATAATGGGTAAATTTTCCAACTTTATCCATTAGAATGGTCCCAACAGACAAGATCTAGTCTTTAAATCATAAAGGGACCAAAAGTGCATCTTTTTCATGTAACACTACCGAAAAACACAACAAATATAAGTTTTTCAAAAACACATGGAAGTTATAAAATGTTTACAAACCAAAGTTTCCAAAATATTTATCCAACATCAGAGTATCCCAAAATCATAAAAACCCATAACAAGGAGATGTGTACGGTCAAGCCTTCGCCTTTCCACGATCATCCGAAGTATCTGAAACAATAAACTGACACCATAAGCCAAAGCTTAGTGAGTTCCCCCAAAATACCAACACAAGCAAATAAGATATACGATCAAACATGTCGGGTCCAATCAACCATCGGGTTGGAATACCCCAGGCCCAGTCAATCATAGGGTTCAGTCATCCTCGGGATGGAATACCCTAGGTTGGAATGCCAATATAAATATATCGGGTCCAGTCAACCATCAGGTTGGAGTACCCCAGGCCCATTCAACCAAATGGTCTAATCATCCTCGGGATGGAATACCCTAGGTTGGAATGCCAATGTCGGGTCCAGTCATCCATTGGGATGGAATACCCTTGGTTTGTTGGCTCACACACAAAAGCAGTAAAGCCTCAACCATCAACCAAATATGTGCACATACACAGATAAACATATAATCAGTCAACAGACAATCACGCAAATCTACAGATCACTAAGCATAGCATCATACTATCACATAACAGGATATCTAATCCAATCGGTCGACCTTGGTGCCTTAGACCCATAAGTACAGTGAGGAAAACTAACCTCACAGTCTGGAAGGTAGATGATGAGGTCTCAACTCCGAATCTCGGCTCTAACCAACACATATTCAATCAAAGGACAATTTCTAAATTGCCATCCAAAATACCCAAAAATACCTATGAGTCAAACTTGGTCAAAGTCAAGGTCAAACTGGTCAAAAAGTCAAGAAGAGTCGAATCAGCTGACCGCCACGTCGTGGTAGCCCTTTACCACAGCGTGGTGTTGAAGACGACAAAATAACTGCGACCAGCCCCTCCACCACGTCGTGATGGCCTTGTCACGCCGTGATATCAGGGTTTTCAGCAGCTTAACGCATTCATCCATGTTCTTCGATTCTAAAGGTTCTCCAACTCAGATCTGGTCCATAATAGGGTCTAGATGGATAAAGTTTCCAACTTTATCTCATAAAACCCTCCAAAGTGTATAGATCTCAACTTTAAGGTTCAAAACACTACATGGATTAAGCAATAATCACTCAATCCATAAGGTTACTTGTCCAAAAGCTCCAAAAGAGTCTTCAAGACCAAACACATCATAAAAATTGGTGCTTTTCAGACATGCATGTCCAATGCATGTCTTGAACTCTTATTAGGCCAAAATAGGGCAAAAAAGTCCAAGATTCCATGCATGGCCTCAAAACTCAAATCTAATTCAGATCTAAAGAGTCAAATGCTCCAAATGGCCTAGAGATTCATAAAGTTGCAAGATTTATGAAGTTCAACCATCCAAAGCAACAAAGCATAGAGAAAAGTGGACAAAATCCAAAGATCTATCAACTAACTCATCAAGATGAAGACTTTATACCTCCTTGAGATGGTTGAGGAAAATAAACTCCTGGATCTATATTGCTTTAGGCTCCCAATATGATCTTCCACCACTTTCTTCCTTCATAAGCACCAAACACACATACTTTAAGGCTAAAAATTCACACAAGGGATCTAGGGTTTGCAAGGGACGATTTGGAAAGATGGAGACTGATGGGAGCGTACGCGGCTAACCCAAAAATCGTCCTAACTTCAAACGGTCGTAACTTCTTCGTTCCAACTCCATTTTCGACGTTCTTTATATCCACAGAAAGGTATTGAAGAGCTCTACAATATTATCTAAATATCTTGGACTAAAAACTTCTTGAATAAAAATCCATATTTCATGCAAGAACCCGGCCTATGATTTTTCCCGTTCTACCCTTCGGACCAAAACGCAATTCAAAGGTTTAGATCTCATAACCATCATTACCTCCTTCCAAAAGGTCTAAACATTACCTTCTTAAGGCCTAAAGCCTTTACACAATCGATTTCCGGCCCACGACCCTGAAATAGAAAATGACAGGACACAGAATGTTACAATTTCATTCGATTATCAAAAGCAAAACCCAAAATAGTCATTTTATATTGGTCCGATGGATATAAATCGAGTAAGAAGGAAATATTTTGTAGGAAGGGTAAGAAGTGCATCATTTGTATGATTTTTGACGAATCAACAAAATGAATCTTTAAAATTTACAAAAAAATATGATTTGCAAAAAATTTCAAAAAAAAAAAAAACGCGTCGATGATTCACTAAAGTTGTCCGAAAAGTGAATCAAAACTTGATTCACCAAAAAAAATGAATCATCAATGTTTTTTTCCAAGAATTTTTTTAAGAATAATGTTATTTTTATATCATCTAATGATTAATTTGATTGGTCCACTAAAAGACATGCAAATGATGTACTTTTTATCATTTCTACCAAATATTTATTTGTTATTTGATCTTCTTGGTCTGGTTAATTCATTTTTTTTTCTTTTTCGGGTTATTATGCTTACTCTAACTAGGTGTTAAGATTGGTATAATACGCTTACACCAAAATAACATATATCCATTGGTTGAAATATTCAACGTTGGTGCCTCCTTTTGCATTTTTAAAATACAATAATGCTTCTTTTATAATAAAACTAAAAATTACAAATGTTCATAAAAATTTCAATCAATTTCCAACCACAATACCACCTCTATCATGATCATTTGTTTTGTGGCCTCTTCCACAACACTCCAATCCTTCTAAGCATATTACCATCTTTCCTCTTCAAATACTCATCATCATCATCATCATCAATCTCTACACTACCAGGTGAACTCATGTTCATCCTCTTCCTAGGACTAAAATGGCCCATCGACCATGTTCTCTCCTCCAACATCCGGCCATTGTTATCACTGTTCTTATCACAAAGCATATCAGTAGCCGCCTCCGCAGCCTTCCGCCATTGACTCATCTGCACTTTCAGCCTTCTCAACTCTTCTTCCATTTCACAGTTGCTCATCTTCACAGCCTCTAATCGTTCAGTCACATTTGCAACTTCGTCTTTGTTCTTCTTCATTGCCTCCGTTGAGCTTTTCATTTTCTTGATTTCCAGTTTCAGCATCTCGTTTTCATCGCACTTTTCGCTTAATTCCGTCTCTAAACTCGTCAATTTCGACTTTAAACTCTCGAAATCTTGTTTTGACTCGTTTCCCACCTCGTTTTCTCGCAAGTTTTTCAGTTTCGCATTCAGATCTTCGTTCTCCTCAAGAATACATTGCAATTCGGTCAATTCGGTCCATCAATCGTCCAAATTCTCAACGCCAACGCATCAACATCTTCTTTCGACTTCCTCAATTCGCCATTAATCTCCCATGCTTGACGTGATTTCAAATTTTCGAGTTCAGCTTTCAAATCAGTAATCTCTTTGGATTCACTTTGCTTCTCTTTTGCATTCATTTCTTCAATAATCGATTCTAACGAACTTACGCGTGCTCTTGATTGGTGTAGCTCCGAAACAATAGCGTTGTAATCATCACTGTTTGTCTTTAATGACTCCATTGTTTTTTTTGCTGTTTCGAGTTGTTGTAAAGTTTCGCTAGCTAAAGTCTGGGCCTGAGACTCTGAACTTCTGGAATCGTCAAGTTGGTTCTTCATTTCCTCCATGATCGAAAGCTGTTGAGCCATATTCTCTTTCAAGACACGTATCTCCTCGTATGCTGATAGATGGTTCGACTTCAAAATTTTCCAAAATATGAAAATATTATGGTTAGAAATGAAAGGAGAGCGATTGCATGAACGTAATATACAAAAAAAGGGAGCTTACATGGGTTTCATGGGAAGAAGACAAAGCCAAGAGCTTTTGAGACTCTTCAAGTTTTAAAGTTATGGCTAAAAGCTCTTTCCTCGACTCTTCTGCGTCTAACTTGGCTTGTTTTTTCCATGATTCAGACACAATTAGTTGATCTTTAACAGTTCTTAAAGCATCCTCCAGTTGACTAATTTGTGTTTCAAGTTCGGCAACTCTCCCTTGACGTTTCTTCTGAAACATTAAACAATAATATTAGAAAGAAAAAACATATGTAACCTCAACCATACACTCAAGGTTCGCCCTTCCACTTGGGCATTAATGAACATGAAAATATCTTATGTAATAACTAAGAACAATTATATACCTACTACTTACTTTACATTAAACTTATATAAATGCATGTGATAAATATCCACAAAAAAGAGGAAACTGGGAAGTTTGACGGTAGTCATAGGTTATCTTTGGCAAAGCTAGGAGGACGCCGGAAGCTGTAAATTGGAGTTTTATTTGTGTTAAACGGTTTAGCAAAAGTATTTTATAACTGTTTAAAGTGTATAAAACGATATATATAGAACATAAAAAACTAAAAGTTACTTCCAAAAAAGACTCTGAAAACTGAAGCCCACTGGTCTTTTAGTTGATTAAAGTTAAAGTATAGATGTATAGTTAAATTAACTATATTTTAAATGTAATAAGAACATCTAAATTTATTTAAGAATATAAAGCTTTTTAATAACTCAAAACATGATAACATATTTAATTAAAACTTAATATTTACATATATATTACAATAAATACAAGATGTATTTTTGAAAATTTAAACAAGTTAAAAACAATAACTTATATTTTGCACATTTTTGAGCTGAAAATGATTGTCACTCTTAGAAACGATGTTATAGATGTTATTAAGGTCAAAATACTACTTTTGGAAAGCACTTTCAACACCATCTGAATTTTCATACAAATCATTTGTTTGTCACTAAATACCCTCTCCCCCTCCCCCCCACCCCCACCCACCCACACAAACACACAAACAAACACACACAAAAACCCATAAAGTCATGAAGTTTTAGTAGTATGCTAGAAATTAATATACCTCAGGATCAAGTCCTCTTGGTGATGTGCGATCAAGAATTTTAGTACTTGTTGTTTTTGGAGTTCTAATACTTGTAGAAGAGTTTGCTTCAAGGCCACTTGTCTTGAGTTGTCGAACAACACGACCTGTGCTCCTTTGTCTAGTCTCTAAAGTAACAGATCGAGGAGAGCTCTTCCGACCACCTTCAGAGCCTGAAGAGCTCTTTACGCTGTCATCAGTATCAGCCAAAAACCATATAAGCAATTCTAAAACACAAAAAGAGAAGGGAAATATGGACCAAAATAGGAAAGAAAACATGTATAAACTACTTAACTATTCTAACACTTTCAAAACTACAATAACGGAAGTAACTAGCAAAACTGGGTTCAATTATCGATGAAGGACTAAATGAACAATTAAAGGTCATTGAAGAGAGGTATTGTTTATGGTACCTTGTTTTTGGAGTCTGCATTTGCTATCTTTAATGCCACCCTTTTCTATCCAAGATTCAACCAAAATGGGTGCTTTAAATTTAATTTACGTCTAACTTAAATGCTATCTCACCAACAAAACCTGCAACAATTTCAAGAAAACCACAACAATGAAAGAGAATAAAGAGTGGCTGTAGAGCACCAAGGTCCCTTAACTTTCTTCAGCCATGGGACCAGACTGTCGTTATGACGTCACAAAACTCACACTCCCAGTGAAACAATGAAAACCTGCAAGAAATTCAAGAAACTGCAAGCAATTAGAGAGAGAGAGAGAGGAGAGAGAGAGAGAGAGAGAGAGAGAGAGAGAGAGAGAGAGAGAGAGAATCTAATGTGAAAGATGAAGTAAATGGATGTGATATGGTACTCTGAAACAGGCAAGAGAGTATGTACCATGAATGAATATTAATGACATAAAAACAAAGAAAATTCAAGTTGTGCTGGTGTGTCACATATGCCAACTAATAACAATAATATCATCGAGTCAACTCTCAAACCGAATGCCTTGTATCCATTAGGTGTTAATATATTATTAACAAAACCAAAGATTTATTTGGGAATATAGAGAGAAGGACGTTTAATTAACGTTTTACATAAACCCATAAATTAATGGGGTAAAAAACATAAGCTTTAAAAATAAGAATATAATATAGTACTTGATTAACATGAATACACACCTGCAAAACAGCAATTATTTGGAAGGAACCAGTGGGGATCGATATGAGATTTAATGAAAATAATAATGGAGGATCTGAGTAGCAGTTGAAGCATGTTTGGTGTTCCCCATTATTGTTTTCACGAGCGTCAGGCCAGAAGGAAGGTACATATCAAATTACCTATATCACCCGATATCTTAAATTGGGTAATGCTTGTTCAAGATGGGCACTTTGGTCATTTCAAAGACTCCGCCATTTTTGTCCGTGATTGAAGTTAGTAGATCGAAGACGTAGACCAGTGTTAGTTTGACTATCCGAAAACAGTTCACATACAGATCTCATGATCAATAAAGCTAAGTGGTTTTACATCTGTAATGATGGATTAAAATTATGAAATATTTACCGATCGATCTAAATCTTAAAAACTTGGGAAAGAAGTTAATGGCTTTTTGATGAAGAAGATGACAATTCATCTAAAAGAATTGAAGGTGTGTGTATATAAAGATAGATAGATAGAGATGGATACCTGCCAATTATTGCGAGCCATCGAACTCATAACAATGACCCAACGAAGCTATAAATTTGTGGGTAAGCCTAAAGGCTACAAAAGGTCGAGAGGAAAGCCCTATACTAGTTTAAGGGTATACGGTATACCTAGAAAGGATGTTTTTCATGAGTTATGTGTGAACTAATGTCACATCAAAGAAAGAAAAAACGTGGCTGTGAATTTTGTGTTTTTCTTATCTTCTTATGAAAATTTTGTTAAAATACATCGAATGGATAGAAAGGAGAGAACATCAACAAGAGTAAAGTAGTTTCCACCAAACTGAAACAAAGATTGGAATCAAAACGATGAAATACTTCCACCAAACTTATTGTATCTTTTACTTGAAGGTTTCGTTTGTCCATGGGAGGTTGCTTACTAATTGAATAATCTTTAACAAAACTGAAGATTGAAAACTATGTGAATGTTAGACTCAAATGTTGCTTGGTTTGCAGAGTTTAGAGGAATTTGAATTAATAAATTCCTTTTCCAACACAATATTGAAACCATAGTCTATCTCATCTTGGTTTGCATTCCACCAATCCATGTCCAACACAATATTGAAACCACAATGTTGCATTGAAGCAATGTATGTAACAAAATTTATTACTCTAAATTCCCCACACACATTCTTAAATTCTCTTATAATGGTCACATGAGTACCATCGAAATCAACTAATAAGTGTGAATCAACTGCATGCAAAAGTAAAGAAAGTCATCGGCCAAATCTATATGACATGAATGAATAGTTAATTTGTATTCAAATCAAATAATAGATTGCATGCAAAAGTATAGAAAGTCATCACCCAGATCTATATGACATGAATAAATAGTTTGTATTCGAATCAAATAATAAATTAACACGTAGGAAATCCCTAAGAAAATATCTAAAACAACACATACGGTTTCTCAAGCCTCTCATATAATAATTTGTAATGTGAAGGTCCATGTTTTTTTGTTGTTGCACATTCTCATTCTTCTTTTTAGGACAGTGCACATAAACTTGTTTCAAATGAAACCCTGGGACTATTTGGTATTAATTTGTATAATATTTTATGTTTCCACACTTAAAACAAGTCACATCATCCTTACTCTTTGAGAGTCCCCGTTCTTTCCTTTCTTATCAAACTTTTTCTTATTGTTCCATTGTTGTCTAATTTATTATCAATCTTTATTTGTTGTGACATCCCTATTTTTCTCGGCCAGAAAAAAAACCGATTTGTTTATATTTTATTTTTAAAATCAGAATAACTTTTTAAAGAAAGGTGTTGCGGAATTTGTTCCCAAAAAAACACGATAAATATGTTATCAAAGCATTTCCAAATAAATGTATTTTATTCATTTTAAAACTTTGGGATTTCATCGTCAATACAGAAACATAAACATAAACAGAACTTACATTCATTTACACTAGTGATCTACATCTCTTTAATCTCTCGGTGTAGTGTAGCTTTATATCGACACATGTGATACAAATAAACTGAGTGGGTCAGGTTGGGAAACCTGGTGAGTACATAGGGATTTTAATCCCACAATGTTATATCATATATATATATATATATATATATATATATATATATAATATATATATATATATATATATATATATATATATATAATATATATATTAGAACTCACAAAATATACAATTTCACAATATATAAGCAACTTACCCCACCCCGTCGATCCTCACAACGACACGATCCATACTCTAAAATTTACCTCTTTCCCTAATCCATACTCCCAGATCTAAAATGTACCCTTTTTACCTAATCCATACTCCCGGATCTAAAAGTTACCTCTTTACCTAATCCATACCCTCGGATCTAAAATGTACCCTTTTTACCTAATCCATACTCCCAGATCTAAAAGTTACCTCTTTACCTAATCCATACTCCCGGATCGGGTATGTCTGATCCATACTCCCGGATCTAAACTTTACCTTTTTACCTAATCCATACTCCCGGATCGTGTATGTCTGATCCATACTCTCGGGTCTAAAAAAACAAGTAATTATGTCCTAACCATACTCTCGGACTAAGGACAACTGACTAAGTCTAATGCATACTTTCGGATAAATGACAAGTTTTAAAGTTATTCTCTCCGTGTATATCTCATTTGTACTCTCAAGGAGATACTACCCAATATCCCTCTTAATTTATTTAGGTCTACTCTAAATCCTAAATCATCATATATTTATCAGATATGCTATTAACATGTATTTCAGACAGTATCAAAACCAACTATTTCATCTACCATGTTCTGCCCAACATATTTGTAGATATAAAATACATATACAGTTCAGATCTGAAGAAAAAGTTTAGATCTGAAAAGAAAATACATATACGGTTCAGATCTGAAAAAAAGGTCTAGATCTGAAAAACAAAGTTTAAATCTTTCATCCAACATAGATCTCAAGTATAAAATACATATATGGTTTAGATCTGAAAAAGAAAGTTTAGATCTGAAAAGAAAAAGTTTAGATCTGAAAAGAAAAGTTTAGATCTTTCATCCAGCACAGATCTCAAGTAAACAGATAATATATGCACATAGCACGTAATTTATATAAAATACTTCATATATATGTGTAAGATGAAAGTAACTATGCACTCACACATAAACTCTTTAACAAATATTTAACTCTTTAACAAATATTTAATACCTTAATTAATACTTGTATTAAAATCATGTTCATGAAAGGGACTATGCACTTACCTGATAAAGTGGTGATTCTAACTTGGACAGCGCTTCGCTTCTTAAAAATATGGTTTCCTTTGACGAAACCGGGTGGTTTGCTTGAAAACCGGGCTCTACAGGGGCAGAGTTTCAAAACCGAAGAACTTTTTTTCTTGGAGTCTACTGGCGCTCCGGGGCTTTCTTTTAGTGCTAGGGAAGTTTCCTAGGCTTAGGGGGTGTTTGGGGAGGCTAGAGAGAGAGATTAGAGTGAGAAAGAATGGTTGAAATGGTGTGAGAAATGAGCTGCCCTCGCACTCCCTTTTACAGCCGCTGATCCTCGGTCTACGCACGGCGCTCCTGCGAACGTTGGGCGTAGGGTCGAGGTTCGTACAACACGCTTCCGAAGCTGCTTGGTGCGACGTGGCTGATCCGAGACCAAGAGGTGCGAACGCGAGGCGCTCTTCTCTACGCGGGGCGTTCCCTCGCACAGTCTCGCAAATCACTATCCCGACTTCAAAAATTCATAACTCTCGCATACGAGCTCCGTTTTCGACGTTCTTTATATCCACGCGTAGGTAGAGACGTACTCTACAACTTTTGTTTAGACTCTGTCGGCTAAGTTTGACTATATTTGTAAAGTTATATTTTTAACGGGCCGGGACAGGAAAGTCCGTTAAAAATTCATAACTTCTTCATCCGACGTCCGTTTCCGTCTGTCTTTTTACCGTTGAGCTACTATTAATGAGACATTCTATTCCCGTTTAGGTTGTGTCGTCCGAAAACCGTTTGATCTACTATTCGAACTCCGGGTTGTGTACTGTTAATCCGAAACTTGTAAAAATCATAACTTCCTCATACGAAGTCAGATTTGAGCGTTCTTTTTATGCACGCTCTCGGTTTAGCGAACACTATGACTTTCGTTTAGATCGCTAAGGCTAAAAAGCACTTTTATCGTAAACTCACTTTTTACGTCACGTAGTGTCGTGCCGGTTCTGTCGCGAAACTTCGACAGGTCATAACTCCATCGTTACAACTCGGATTTTGGCGTTCTTTATATGTACGGAACCCTTGAGACATATGCTATAACTTGTTTAAGGTTATTTACTCTAAATAATCTTTTATTAAAAAGCTATTATTAATGTTCATTGTCTCAAAATTGACTAGTCCGAATCTGCGGGCGTTACATTTATCTTGTCACCACTATTCTTTATTTCTCTATCTCTCGTGATAAGGTATTTTTCAAACTTTCTGTGACAACCCGAAATTTCTATTCTGTACAACCATTCGATTCAATAGAAGTCAGAACAGTTTCTACTAACTTTCAAGCTTTTTTGGAATAAGTTTGAGTATTTTAAAGTTAGTACTTCAGGAGATAACAGGAGAGATGATGCCCTAGGGTTTATTGTGCAACAATAATATCCCAAAACTCCAAGAGTTTGGAGTTTACGGCCTAAACAAAGGTGTTTACGGCCGTAAACCCTAAAAGGGGGTATAAATATGACACTTAGTCATTATTTACCACTTTCACATTTTCAAGATCCAAAACCCATTTCTCTCTCAAGTATCATCCGACTTTTCTTCAAGATCTTCAACTTTGTAAGTGTTTCTATCCTTAAAAAGTTGATATCTTACTTAATCTAGTGATCTTACATGATTCCATCCGTGAAATCATTCCAAAAGTATAGATCTTCAAGTTTCACCAAGAACACACACTAGTGTTCTTGGAGTTTTAGCACCTTTTCAAGCTTCTACCTAGTAAGTACTCTTACCCTAGTGTATTATAAGACTTGTTACACTTCTAAACATCTAGAAAACACCAAGTAAACACAAGATCAAACTCTTTTACATGTTAAATACTATTACTTAAACTCTTTTAAACTTATATTCTGTTAAAAGTGTATCTATATAGATATAGTTATATAAGTAGGATTGAAAGGACTTACGACTGATAGCTTACCTTATTTCCTGTTCCTTGTTTGGTTGTGGACTTAGGGTGTTCCGGTTATTTGTCCAAAGGTCGTTTGAATCCTAGTTATATATTATGTATATGTATATAGATACAAAGGTTCCTTCTTTCATTCAGTTCAATACCTTTGGGTAGCAAAGGTATACACACATGTTCATTCATTCAAACAACATTACTAGTAAACTATAATAGGTATAGTTTAGGGAGATACTAATACTATTACTAGAACAATGAAACATACAATGAGTCAGTTCATACATGAGTCAATAACAAACAAACAATAGAATACTATGATGAGAAACAAACAATAGAATACTATGATGAGAAACAAACAATAGAATACTATGATGAGAAACAAACATACATGCTAGACAGGGAGAGAACACACAATACAGCTAGCACATACATATACATATACATTACCTACAGTTATGTGAGCCACGTAACGGGGCATGGCACTACCTGCCATGACCGTTTTGTATCCAGAATCT